AATTTTGTAATGGAACTACTCAAGTACTGATTTGGATAGAAAGCAGTAGATTGAACGTAATGCTCCATTTCTATACTTGCCACGTGTAAATAGGGTGAAACAATTGCAAGGGCACATACATGCTGTAATTTGTGACAATTACAGATAAGTAATAATATCACTCCAACTTATGCTCAAACATTCACCATGTTGCGAAGAATTTATTGTTACCTCGGGAACCTCTGCTACTCCCTGCTATTATTACTTTTATGCCATAAACTGGGGTGTTGTATTACCATCCAGTATAAAATTAATCCACTAGGTTTTAGCAGCTCTCTCTTTAATTTATAATTTTTCAATAATTTCTCAATAATTTTCACAAAATTTTAATTGGGGAATTGATGCAATTTGTGTTTGTACATCTCCAATTATATACATAATCAGTTAAGGTGATCTGATCCCTGTTATTTCCTAATAAACAAAAAACAAAGAAATTGAACTGTCATAAATAATTCCATCAGTGGCAAAGCAATGAAATAATAAATAAATAAATAAAGTCACTATGAAGCCTCCTAATGGAATCAGTCAAACTGTTATCATCACCACATATGGAAGATGGTCTCAGGCTCTTGGGCCTGATGTTTCCTTGATTGTCTTGCTTGGACTTAGAAGATATGATCCAAAGCTTACAATGGAAGCACAGTTAGCAGACAAACATAGAATCTCAGGTTGCTGTGGAGTTACTTAGCTCAGGAGACATTTTAGCTGCCATTGGCTCCTTTGAAAAAAAAAATAGAAGCCATTATTAAGATGCTTGAGACAAAATAACTCCTAAGGTGCCTGATGCTGAGGAAAACATGGTCTATTGGAATGAGGTTTTTAAAAATTAGCCTGACACTTTGGTAGTATCTGGATCTGAGCACATCTCCCGATGCCTAACTAAATTCAACTGTTCAGTGTTATTCAAGAAAAGAGTATGAAGAGTATGTTGTTCAAGAAAAGAATATGCCAGACCACTGATCAACCCAGCCTATACAAGCTATTCAGAGTGGTAGAAGCTCTCAAAACTTTTTTTGAAGGAGTCTTCATTGACCTTGCTCTTTGGCAAAAGCAAAGCAATTTTACATAACTTTGGTGAGGCCAAGATATTTTTTTTACTGACATCTGCTATCTTTTAGAGCTAATCCTCTTAACATCTATAGCGTAAGCGAGGAACCTTTTTGGACTGGGGGCTAAATTTGGAATTTTGAGAAATGTGATATATACACTCAAAATCGCTCAAATGTACACAAAATTGCTGCCACAGCCAACATGACTAGTTATAAAACATCCATTTACCAGAAGCAAACAAACCCTCCAAGATGCTCTCTACCATTCTGGCAACATCCTGAATGCCATAATAGTACCTATCTTGCTTAATAGTGCTCACCTTCCTATCAATTAAAGCCATTTTCTCTCTCCTGGACAATCATTCATGAAGAAAAGTATAATCACCTGTTAATTAAACAAAAATATTTCAGAATGTCAAAAATATTTCAGAATGTCAAAGAGGAAATACAGAGGGTGACATCTAAGGATGCTTTCCCTGAATTCAAACTACAAGATGAAGAATGTTTTGTACCAAAAAAATATAAGTAGCCATATACTGCAATTGTTTATATACATAAGATCCATCAGAAGTTGATTTCAATTGAAAAAAATAAGACTTCAGGGGGAGGAAATGGCAGATTAAAGATAGCTCTGTGAAAAGCAGGGCTGATGACAGTGAAAACCAGTCAGTAAAGTAGACTGGCTGCTCAAAATCTCTCCAGACAAGGAGAGGATGGGAGATTGCCCACTTATACTCTGAACAGTTGCTCCTCATGAATAAACTTCAAGAGAGCAGTTCCCAGTGGGTTTTAGCAATGGGAGATGACAGGAATAGCCATCTTGGTTGTAATCATAGTTGATGCATTTTAAAAGTTCTAAGTTTGAAAAATTCCTTTAGCAGTCACAATGAAGTAACAAAATGAGAAATTGCTTGTTACAATTACTTTTAAACTATCAGTGGCACTTGGATTGACAAGTCTTGGATTGACAAGTCTGAAAACAACATTCAATCCTTAATGAAAGAAAAAAATTAATCATAAGATTAAGATTTCTTTGATAAAAAGGTGAAATAAGCAGCAAAAAGCTAAACGAGACTTTGATCGTAGAAAATTATAAACAGATTAAGGCTCCAGATAAATGTGGAAAAATATTTTGGAATTAATTATAAAGAATCCTTCCCATGGGAAATAGATTTGTTTGAACTTTGCAGGACAAAATAAAAATAAGCAATTTTAAAAATTGGATGTTAAAGGGAATTAAATATTTTAATGAAAGAAGAAAATAAATAAGCCAGATGAACCACGAATTAACTGGGATATTTAAAATGGTGCAAAATATTTCAACGTTAAAAATACTGAAGGATACTTTTGAGAAATGGAATCAGAAATCAGTATCCACAAAGTCAATAGTGATGTTTGCTTTTATGGATAAGCTGTATCCTGAAAATATAATGGAAAAAATAGTAGATGAGGAACAAGTTTTATCTGACAAGTCAGAGATGCTATTGAAAATGAATCTACAAATCACAGACCACAGTATTAGATTTTACTATTATAATTAAAATTCTTAATAAAAAGCATATATGTATATATAAAGCTACAGTAATTTCAACTGAGCCAAATATAGCAATCTAAAATTGTTGAAGAAGCAGAGTTGGACTGCCTACATCTCTCAATGACAACACATTTAGTGGAACTACGATAGTAGTACCAACTGAATTAAAAAGGGCTTTAGCATTACCCAGCATTTTTGAACCGGCATCTGTTTCCTCAGTTTCAGGTTTAAAAATGAATCCTTTGTCATTCTCTATAGGCCACCCATAGAGGTCTAAAGTTGTATCTTACTGTCAAATTCAGGAGAAATGCACTTAGAAATTTAACAAAAGTTACTAAGAACAGACGAATTGCTTTTTTCTTCTTTGAAGGATTTACTTCCTACAAATGGCTGCACAGCAAACAAGACTTACGATTATGTCAAAAACAGGACTTTTAAGTCCACATCCTTTGTCAAGAATCATCCAGGTATTCCAAGAGGATTTTCCCCCCCTATGGATAAAAAGTATATCTCTTTGGATATAGAAAGAGCTTGGCACATTCATCATTGGCATTTTTAGAAGAGTTTGGTAAGAGATGCAAAACCTCTTTTTTCTTGGCATCATACCTCTTAGGAACTACATATGATATTCATAGAGAAAACACAAAATAATAATAATAATAATAATAATAATAATAATAATAATAATAATAA